TCCAATAGTTGAGACAGACAGGAGCAACCTGTTCTAAACCCATGTTGCCCTGGGTTGTGTAATTGATGGGTTTCTAGATGGGTGGTGATCTTGCTTCTTAGGACCCTTTCAAAGATTTTTATATGGGATGTTAGTGCTATCGGTCTGTAGTTCTTTGCTATTGTTTTACTGCCCCCTTTGTGGAGTAGGGGTATGTTTGTTGTTTTTAGTAACTGTGGGACGACCCCCGTGTCCACGCTCCCTCTCCATAGGATGGTAAAATCTCGTGATAGGGGCTTCTTGCAGTTCTTGATGAGCAAGGAGTTCCATGAGTCTGGCCCTGGGGCAGAGTGCATGGGCATGTCATTTATCGCCTGTTCGAAGTCATTTGGCGTCAGGATAACATCAGACATGCTTGTGTTTACCAAATTCTGTGGCTCTCATAAAAAAATAATTTTGATCTTCGACTCTCAGTCTGGTTAGCGGCTTGCTAAAAACTGAGTCATATTGGGGCTTGAGTAGCTCACTCATTTCCTTGCTGTCATCTGTGTAGGACCCATCTTGTTTAAGTAGGGGCCCAATACTGGACGTTGTTCTCGACTTTAATTTGGCATAGAAGAAGAAATACTTTGGGTTTCTTTCGATTTCATTTATAACTTTTAGTTTTTCCCGCGATTCCTGACTCCTATAAGATTCCTTTAGCTTAAGTTCGATGCTTGCTATTTCTTTGACCAGTAACTCCCTACGCATTTCAGATATATTGACCTCTTTTAGCCGCTCTGTCATTCTTTTCCGTCGCCTGTAAAGGGAGCGCCTGTCTCTTTCTATTTTACATCTACTCCTCCTTTTTCTTAGAGGAATTAGCCTTGTGCATACATAGAGTGCCACCGAGTTAATGTGTTCTAGGCACAAGTTGGGGTCTATGTTGCTTAGTCTAACTTCCCAGCTTATATCGGTTAGGACTTCGTTTACTTGGTCCCACTTTATGTTTTTGTTATTGAAGTTGAATTTGGTGAATGCTCCCTCGTGACTAATCTCATTATGTCGGTCTGGGGCTCCGCGCATACATGTCTGAACCTCAATTATGTTGTGATCTGAGTATATTGTTTTTGATAAGGTGATATTTCGTATCAGATCATCATTGTTAGTGAAGATGAGGTCTAGTGTATTCTCCAGTCTAGTAGGCTCTATTATTTGCTGGTTTAAATTGAATTTTGTGCATAGATTTAAAAGCTCATGTGTGTGTGAGTTCTCATCAGAGCTGCCTCCTGGTGTTATTACTGCAACAACATTATTTGCTATATTCCTCCATTTTAGGTGCCTTAAGTTGAAATCCCCCAGGAGCAAGATGTTGGGGGCAGGAGCTGGCAGATTTTCCAGACAGTGGTCAATTTTTAACAGCTGTTCCTGGAATTTCTGGGATGTTGCATCCGGAGGCTTGTAGACTACCACAATGACTAGGTTTTGGTTCTCGATCTTTACTGCTAAAACTTCCACTACATCATTTGAGGCATTAAGCAGTTCTGTGCAAACAAGTGACTGCAATGTACAGGCCAACCACCCCCCCTCCCCTTTTGCCTGTTCACTCTGTCGCATCTGTATAGGTTGTAACCTGGGATCCATATTTCGTTGTCCAAGTGATCCTTTATGTGGGTCTCAGTGAAAGCCGCGAACATTGCATTTGCCTCTGCAAGCAGTCCTAGTCGACAACCTGCTGGAGTCTGTGAGACCAGAGGTTAGAGTCTTTCAGTTGTGTTTATTTTGCTCCCTTTACACCCAGGATAACAGGACTTTGGATTCCTGGGTTGTAATATCTACCTTTTACTCTCACTGTAGCTACAACTAAAACGTAATCTGATATATCTGTGGCACCTTTATAAACATGTACATTCTGAAGTCTACTCAACAGTCTTTTATCTACCAATACATAGTCCAACAAACTACTGTCATTACGCCCTACTTCATATCTTGCATACTTATTTATCCTCTTTTTCTTAAAATATGTAGTACCTATAACTAAACCCCTTTCTATACAAAGTTCAGTCAAAGGTTTCCCATTATCATTTACACCTGGTAACTCAAACTTACCTACCACACCCTCTCTAAATGCTTCTCCTTCTTTATCATTTAGGTCCCCTACCACTTGGTTCAAAGGTTCCTATATATTCACTTAACATCTCCCAAAATCTCTCTCTCTCTCTCTCTCTCTCTCTCTCTCTCTCTCTCTCTCTCTCTCTCTCCTCTACACTCCTACCGTCTCCAGGTGCATACATGCTTGTTATACTCCACTTTTCACATCCAACCCTTATTTTAATCCACATAATCTTTCGAATTTACACATTTATATTCCCTCTTTTCCTTCCATAACTGATCCTTCAACATTATTGCTACCCCTTCCTTAGCTCTAATTCTATCAGATACTCCTGACTTAATCCTGTTTATTTCTCCCCACTGAAACTCACGCACCTCCTTCAGCTTTGTTTCGCTTAGAGCCAGGACATCCAACTTCTTTTCATTCATAACATCAACAAATCTCTTTCTTGTCATCCGCACTACATCCACGCACATTCAAGCATCCCAGTTTTATGAAGTTTTTCTTCTTCTCTTTTTTAGTAAATGTTTACAGGAGAAGGGCTTACTAGCCCATTGCTCCCGGTATTTTAGTCGCCTCCTACGACACACATAGCTTACAGAGGAAAAATTCCTTTCCACTTCCCCATGGACAACAAGGGAAATAAAAAAGAAGAACTATTTAGAAAAAAGAAGAAAAACCTAGATATGTGTATGTGTATGTGTATATATATATATATATATATATATGCATGTGCATGCCTGTGTAGTGTGACCTAAGTGTAAGTAGAAGTAGCAAGATATACATGTTATCCAGCGTGTTTATGAGACAGAAAAAAACACCAGCAATCCTACCATCATGTAAAACATTTACATGTTTCTGTTTCACATTCATCTGGCAGGACGGTAGTACTTCCCTGGGTGGTTGCTGTCTACCAACCTATATATATAAATATATATATATATATAATATATATATATATATATATATATATATATTATATATATTATATATATATATATATATATATATATATATATATATATATATATATATAATTACAATAATTAAATAAACAAACACAATGAAATATATATTTTTTTTTCGTTTGGTTCAGAATTATTTTTGAGGAATTATTGCAGGCCAGTACAACATGGGTTCGAATCCTTGGCTAGTGCAGTGTTCTTATTGATAAATACCACTCGTTCGTGGTTACAATAATATATATATATATATATATATATATATATATATATATATATATATATATATATATATATATATATATATATATATTATATATATATATATATATATTTTATATATATATAATATATATATATATATATATATAATATATATATATATATATATATATATATATATATATATATAAACTTAAAGTATCTCTGAATGTATAAATATATGTAGGTGTGTCTCTCTTTGTGATCTGTTCGGGACATTTACGTGTCTTTGACTGGTGATAAACAAGTTACATATAACCTTAATAACTGAGAGGCCTTAAATCCAATAAACCAAGTTTAACAATTTCCTTTGACAGCCGTATAACAACAGTTGTCAACGTTCTTAATCTTTATGGCTGATGCGTCATGAGAAATGCCTGGACCGGTTTTTGGGTTATGGTTGTTAATGCATGAATTCTGTTAGATTTTATGCAATAACTGGAAAATGCATCACCTGGTCAACTTTCAACTCATGTGTTTTCCTCAAGCCGAACAAACTTTTGATGTTTCGTTGCAAAAATTACCATTTGTCACTTTTATTCGTGAATTTTGTTTCTGTAAAATAATTTGAGTTTGTCTCTCCTGACCAGAATAAAGTGTCTGACTTTTTTAGTCAACCTAATTTAAATATGACCATAATTTTTAAAGGGGGTGGACTGGTAAGCCAGCAGAAGGCTCAAGCAGCGTGACAAATCTTATCTAAACTAACCTCATCTTAAATAAACTCACAGCTCATTTTTTTTTTTTTTGCCTATAACATCAATGTTTCCTTAAAACCATTGTTAAAAAACTGCATGTTATGTGTACTAAACTTGTATGAAAGTTTACCGTCTTGGAGAAATATCATGGGGAGCGCTAAACCTGTAGGAATTATACAGCGCCTATGGGGGAGGGGGAGGGGGGAATGGATGGCATTCAGGCTTAATTCAGGGAACTGGTGCACACAGATCCAATTCCCTGGATCAAGAGCTTCTCGCTAGCATCAAGGAACCTTCCTTGAGAGGCTTGGAGAAAAGGTTGGATTGGTTTTCTTTAGTATACTTCCCAGTTTACTTTATTGGAGACTGGAAAATTTGAAATGCTGCTTTTCATGGAATAATTCCAGAGTGTCCATGTGACAGCTTCAACTCTTCTAAGCTTTATAATGCATCTTCTAAGCGGCTTCAAGTTTAAAGTGTTTTTTTTTAGGATGCTGGAATTATTTGGATTCTTCGAAAAGATTTGCATTTGATTTGGGCTGTGTAGTGTCCTAATTTACCGTTTTTAATTGAAGAAATTTTGTTATTAGTTTCCTTATGATTCATAAATGTCTCTTTTGATTCCTTTCAAATCTACAATACTAATATTTAAGAGCATTGTTGACTCATGCCGCACTCTGCACTATTCCAACAGCTTCCATTCAGGCATCGGGGACTGGGATTATGGAATACGGGGATGACTTTATCGGACTGCTAAGCGATCGAAAATCATCTGTTTTCTAAACGTTTAAATGCATTTATACACAAATAATCAATACAGAATAAAGCTTACGACGATGTTTCGGTCCAACTTCGACTACTGACTAGTCACACGGTATTGTGTCTTTTTTGTGCATTAAGTGCATTTATCTTTATTTACGAATGTCTAGTTTTCTTTTAACTGATCTCTGCATATTGGTGCCTCATGATACTCTTCCTCCTGACCCGCTATGATCATTGTTTTCACAGCCTTGGAGGAGCCCCGTGGCGACCTGCAGGGTGAGGTAATCAACTACAACGAGAGATTCTCCTGGGAGTGGGGTCAGGGGCGCGCTGGCTTCGGTCCCTTCGGTGAGTGAGTCACTGAGGCCTCGGTCCCTTCGGTGAGTGAGTCACTGAGGCCTCGGTCCCTTCGGTGAGTCATCGGTGAGTCACTGAGGCTTCGGTCCCTTCGGTGAGTGTGTCACTGAGGCCTCGGTCCCTTCGGTGAGTGAGTCACTGAGTACAGAAGACACTGCAGGAAAAAATCTTATCGGTATAACATTTCCTTTGGTGAAGGTCTGTATCCCGCCATTGCGGGATATTTTATATTGGCAATAAAGCACAAAGCACTTACGGGTCATACGAATCAAAAATGAAAGATAATCAGGACTTTCCAAGTGGAACTAAGCGCCATTTCTTTGGATCAAAAGCACTTGAAATATCTAGGATCCCCTTTAAGGGATACAATGATCCAGATAATTTTGGGGTAGAAATCTGTGAAATTAGGAATACTGTGCTAAGCTTCAGAGAACCTGACAGACATAAGAATTTTATCACCAACCATGGACTAAAATAAAAGCAAAAAAAAGTTAAGAACCATATGAAACACATATAGCAAGAACTTTTCTTTTATTTATTTTGAAACTTGGCGTTATGAGACTGAGTCATGAGACTTGGGATCATGAAACTTGGGAATAGGAAACCTGGAATCAGAAGACCTGGGAGCGGGAGGCTTTGGATCAATATACTTAGAGTTTAAAAAGTTTAAGATCATGAATCTTGAAGTTAGAACACTTGGGAGTCAGGATACCTGCGGTCAGGACGTCAAAAAACCTGGTTAATGGGTTTTGGAAACAGAAGGACTTCCTCCTAGGAGTTCTGGAATTCGTATGATCTGATCAGGGGTTCCACGACCCCCGGAAGTGTTGGGGTCCTTGCAGATGAAATTTTTAAGACCAGTAATCTAAATTACTTGGACACAAGAATTCTGGTGAACGTTGATTTCAGGAGAAGTCATAAATTTTGAAGGAAGTTAAGTCTTGGAATTACGATAGGCTAACGACAGGGTAAGGACTTGGTAATGACCCGTAAGGACCGGGTTACTACGACGTGAGGACCAGGTAAGGACCGGTTGAGGATCAGGAAAGGACCTGATAAAAACCAAGAAAGACCGGGTAATGACCAGATAAAGACGGGGTAACACCAACTGAGGATCAGGTAAGAAACATAAAGACGGGAAAGGACGAAATGAGGACCTGGTAAGGACCGGTTATAGATAAGCTTAGGATAGCATAAGGATTACCTTACACAAATAAATCGCACATAGGAGAGACGAGCAAACAACGACGTTTCGGTCCGAATTGGACCATTTACAAAGTCAAAATAATATGAAGGAGAGGATCCATTATATATAGGCCAGCTGGCAGGGACGGGACAGGAGAGGTAGTGGAAGTAGCAGTGAAGGTAACGCAGATAGTGAAAATAGTAATGGCTGGAAATGGAAGCAGTAGAAGTGGTAGTGTGAAGTAGGAAAATGGTTGGTAGGACAATAAACAGAAAGGGGCAGAGAATAAGGAGGGAAAAGAGAACATGGGAGCCGAAGGTAGCAGGGAAAGTAATAGTGGTAGTAGTAGTCAAAGGTCATGAAAAAAGAGCATTACAGGAGAGCTAAGAGCTCACAAGGGGTAAGACCAAGAACATGAGGGGCAGGAAGTAAAGGATAAAGCACCCAAGGCAGAAGAAAGGAAATTCTAAACAAGAAAAAGAAAAAAACGAGGCAGAAAGAGAAGGGAAAAAGAAGAATAAGGTTAAGTCAGGTGTGTTCTCAAGTTTGGAGCATTTGACAATATAATGGGAAAGGAAGGCATCTACAGAGACAAAGTCAGGACTAAGATTCACACAAGGAAAGTTGTGTATCAGGGAGGATTCAACAAGACGGCGACTTTGAAAGTTAGAAGGTAGACAGTTTTAGCAGACCAGTCAATAGGATGGCTGTGATCTGTTTCATGACAGAAAAGAGCATTGTTGGTGTAGGCAAACGTAACACTTCTTTTGTACTCCTCGAGTCTGTCAGAAAGAGATCGGGCAGTTTCTCCAAAGAACTGAAGAGGACAAGAGGATCATGAAATAAAGTAGACACCAGGAGCATCTGTAGAGGGAGGAGAGGTACGAACTAGATTAGTTTGATGTTTATGAAAAGGAGAGAGTTGTTGAGATTAGAAAGACTGGAAATATAGGGAAGGCAGAGAACAGGATATTTTCCAGAAGTAGAGAGTTTGGGAAAGAAGACAGTCCGTTTAGCACCTGTCCTCTTGAGTAGTTTGGAGAAACGGGCCGTTCTCTTTCTGACAGACTTAATGAGCACAAAGGAAGTGTTATCCTTGCCGACACCAACAGTGCTCTTTTTTGTCAAGTTAGAGATCACAGTCATCCTATTGACTGGTCTTCTGCTAAAACTGTCTACCTTCTAACTTTCACAGTCGCCCTCTGGTTGAATCCTCCCTGATACACAACTTTCCTTGTATGAATCTCAGTCTTCACTTTGTCTCTGTAGATGCCTTCCTTTCCAATTATATTGTCAAATGTTCCAAACTTCAGAACACACCTGACTTTGTAGATGAATGGTTCAGAGAACCGACATGTTGATAAATTAGACACATGTGCAACTCTTGGGTATCTTTATTGAGGAAACGTTTCGCCACACAGTGGCTTCATCAGTCCATACAAAGGAGAATCTCCTTCAAGATTCTCCTTTGTATGGACTGATGAAGCCACTGTGTGGCGAAACGTTTCCTCAATAAAGATACCCAAGAGTTGCACATGTGTCTAATTTATCAACACCTGACTTAACCTGATTCTTCTTTTCACTTCCTCTTTCTACCTCTTCTTTTCTTTTTTCTTGTTTAGAATTTCCTTTCTTCTGCTTTGGGTGTTTTATCCTTTACTTTTCTTAAAGGGGCTCTTATTTTCCTTGCATTGTTCCTCTTTTATGGCCTCTGACTGACTCATTACTACGACTATTACTACTACTACTATTACTACCACCGCTCTTGTTCCGTCCCGTCTCTCTTGTTCCGTCCCGTCTCTCTTGTTCCGTCCCGTCTCTCTTGTTCCCGTTTAACTTAAAAACTCTTGAAAACTCGGGATTTTTTTTGCGGATTTTTTTTCTCATTACATTCTATTTAAATTTCTCTACAATCCTGTAAGATATTTTTTTTTTTTATAAATTTCGATTTCATAAAAATGACAAATTAATTCAAAAAATATTTCTAGTTATGTTAAACTTAGAATAACAGTTTGTATTATTTTTCATAGAAGAAACTGTAATAATTTTCACCTGACGACTGATACCCCTCAGATTTATGCCGCACTCTGCACTATTCCATCAGCGTGCATAGGGGTGCAGAGAACTCTGGTGGCCTGGTGGTTAACGCTCTCGCTTCACACGGTGAGGGCCTGGGTTCGATTCCCAGCCAGAGTAGAAACATTGGACGTGTTTCTTTCCACCTGTTGTCTATGTTCCCCATCAGTAAAATGGGTACCTGGGTGTTAGTCGACTGGTGTGGGTCGCATCCTGGGACACTGACCTAAGGAGGCCTGGTCACAGACCGGCCGCGGGGCGTTGACCCCCGGAACTCTCTCCAGATAAACTCCAGATACCGTACTGCGATGCCTTTCTCAGATCTCGAAGGGACGGAAATGCATCTTGATATCATGATAATATTCAGTTCCAGACTCACGAAATCTTAATACCACGACTGCAAAGAAATCATGGAACGGGTGGGGATTGAACCGTGGCAAGTGAGTCCTTACTGGCCCTCGAGTTCCAGGACTCGCATGCCATGAGCCAGTCCCCAACTGCTCCCTGATTTGATTTCAGTTTTAAGGTTATACAGGCGCTGAGAAAGGGTGCACAGGTACAGCCTTGGAACAAGAGACTCGCACCCTCATCGAAGAATTTCACTCGAGGGACACAGATGACAAAGTCTAGTTTAATTCGAAGTGTCGAGTAGCGTGACATTACTAGGTGTTAGGTTTTTCTAGTCTCTGCTGTTCTCCTCATCTTCTGCGTTACTTGGTGTTAGATTTTTCTAGTCTCTGCTGTTCTCCTCATCTTCTACATTACTAGGTGTTAGGTTTTTCTAGTCTCTGCTGTTCTCCTCATCTTCTACGTTACTAGGTGTTAGGTTTTCTAGTCTCTGCTGTTCTCCTCATCTTCTACGTTACTTGGTGTTAGGTTTTTCTAGTCTCTGCTGTTCTCCTCATCTTCTACGTTACTTGGTGTTAGGTTTTTCTAGTCTCTGCTGTTCTCCTCATCTTCTACGTTACTTGGTGTTAGGTTTTTCTAGTCTCTGCTGTTCTCCTCATCTTCTACATTACTTGGTGTTAGATTTTTCTTGTCTCTGTTTTATAATGTAAACCAAAAGTTTTAAAATTTCATTTACATTCCTTGAGCTCAAAAATTCTTGTTCGGTAACAAATTTTAAATGTATGTTTAAATGAGTTTTTTTTTCATATTACTTCAAAACCTCAGATGAGAAATTAATTAATTAGCCAGTCAGTTTCTCTCTCTCTCTCTCTCTCTCTCTCTCTCTCTCTCTCTCTCTCTCTCTCTCTCTCTCTGCATCAGGACTATCAGTTGACAGCAAGACAACCAACTCAGTAATAGTAGTGGTCGTAAAAGTGGAGAACTGTGATTGTCTTAGCACAACAGGTGGTGAGCAGAAGTGTAACCATTGGCACACACAACTGTGACAATCTCACCGAGGTAACACTGTCACTCACAATACTAAGTAAACGTATTTGTAGTCTATGCCTTCTAACCAATTATCTGCTGTAAAAAAAAAAATTCTCCTTTTTTTTAATTGGTATGGTAAATTCCTTCGTCCCTTCCCCCTTGTTTTCAAAGCCGTCAGTGGTCTGAGAGAGCCTTTTGCATTTCTGACCTCATCACATGCGTATAGATAATGCACAATAGTCATTAAGAGTTACTACTTTACATAGAAGTAGATAGTTCTTATGTTCTCGGTGTGTATTTTAAGTTCTCTGCTGTCTGTCTTTCTCAAGCTTCCTCCCTACCTCCTTCCCACCCTCCCTCCCTCCCTCCCTCTCTCTCTCTCTCTCTCTCTCTCTCTCCTCTCTCTCCTCTCTCTCTCTCTCTCTCTCCTCTCTCAGTTTTTAGGAGTTAAGCCACGGTGCCCCGTGGCCTGTTGGTAATAGCTCTCGCTTCACACGGGGAATGTCAGGGTTCGATTCCCGGCGAAGGGGTGGAAACATCGGATGGGTTTCCTTACACGTGTTGTCCATGTTCACCCATCAGTAAAATGGGTACCTGGATTTTAGTGGACTGGTGTGGGTCGCATCCTGGGACAAAACTGATCTAATTTGCCCGAAATTCTCTGCATAACAAGTGGCTTTCTATATAGTAGTACGTCATTGATGTCAGCTGGACGGTGTACCTTGTACATGTACTTGAAGTAAAGATATTATTATTATTATTATTATTATTATTATTATTATTATAAAATAACCTTCATGTTTGAAGTTTTTCAAAACCTGAAACTCTCATTACATTTATTATTAGTTCAGTTTACATTATTTAATTCATTCTATATGTATTGAATTTGGAGTCAACTGCGGCCCCAGATTTCTTTTTTTGGTTCAGTAAATTTGGGTAATGCAAATATTAGTTTTATTATTTTAATACAAATATTTAATAATAATAATAACAATAAAAATAATAATAATAATTTTATTATCATCAGTATTATTATTTCACTATAACATTTACAAAAATTTTAAGACCCGTGTGGGCGACTCATCAATGATGTCCAAACTGTTACAGCGGGAGAGATTCAGCGAAGCTTCCGGGCGGCACAGTATCGCGGAACACCGCTGCCAATCTTGTGGGTGGCTGAGTACTTCACCTTCGACGGGGAAGGCATCCGTTTCGGCCGATATTACCGCACCTCAGGATGGTACTCCCACATCTGTATCTGGTAGGTGCTGTTGTCGGGCCATATATATATATATATATATATATATGTCGTGCCGAATATGTAAAACTGGTCAATTAGCAAGAACTCATTTAAAATTAAGTCCTTTCTGAAATTTTCTCTTGTACGTTTAAAGATATATTTTTTTCATCAATGTTAATGTAAAAATTTATAATTTTGCACCAAAAGAATCTTAGAAAACTTACCTAACCTTATTATAACAAGTGTAATTTATTTTAGCCTAACCCAGCTAAATATATATATATATATAATAAGCATGGTTGCACCTGGAGAAGAGAGGAGTGTAGAGAAGAGATTCTGGGAAACGTTAAGCGAGTGTATAGGAACTTTGGAATCAAGTGAGAGAGTAATTGTGGTAGGGGACCTAAATGCTAAAGTAGGAGAAACATTTAGAGAGGGTGTGGTAGGTAAGTTTGAGGTGCCAGGTGTAAATGATAATGGGAGCCCTTTGAACTTTGTATAGAAAGAGGTTTGGTTACAGGTAATACATATTTTAAGAAAAAAAGGATAAATAAGTATACAAGATATGAGGTAGGTTGTAATGACAGTAGTTTGTTGAACTACGTATTTGTAGATTAAAGAATGTTGAGTAGACTTCATGACGTACATGTTTATAGAGGGGCCACAGATATATTAGCTCACATTTTAGTTGTAGCTACAGTGAGAGTAAAAGAACATAAGAACATAAGAAAGGAGGAACACTGCAGCAGACCTGTTGGCCCATACTAGGCAGGTCCTTTACAATTCATCCCACTAACAAAACTTTTGCCCAACCCAATTTTCAATGCTACCCAAGAAATAAGCTCTGATGTGCAAGTCCCACTCAAATCCAACCCCTCCCACTCATGTACTTATCCAACCTAAATTTGAAACTACCCAAAGTCCTAGCCTCAATAACCCAACTAGGTAGGTAGGTAAGACACATAGGCAACAGTTAGGCAACTCTACCTCGAAACGCCTCGCCCACACAGCAGGCTCCCCCAGTCGAACACAGAAAGAAGGCAGGAACAGCAGAGATGCGAAGACGATGCAATCAGTCCACCACCCCCGAAGTCGCAGAATCTGAGGTTATCCGTCCCTCAGCCTGGGGAAGTTCAGTTCCATAGTCAGGAATAAAAAGAAAATAGTGAAGGTGTATAAACTAAAAGAGGAGGCTGTTAGGGTAAGATATAAACAACTATTGGAGGATAGATGGGTTAGTGAGAGTATAGGTAATGGGGGGTCAAAGATGCATGGGGTACGTTTTATAAATGTAGTGTTAGAGTGTTCAGCAGTTTGTGGTTACAGGAAAGTGGGTGTGGGAGGGAAGATGAGCGACTGATGGAAGGATGTTAAGAGTAGTAAGGGAGAAAAAGTTAGCATATAAGAGGTTTTTATAAAGTAGAAGTGATGCAAGTAGGGAGGAGTATATGGAGAGAAAGAGAGGTTAAGAGAGTGGTAAAGCAATGTGAAAAGAGAGAAAATGAGAGAGTGGGTGAGATATCAACAAATTTTGTTGAGAATAAGAAAAAGTTTTGGAATGAGATTAATAAGTTGAGGAACCCTAGGGAACAAATGGATTTGACAGTTAAAAAATAAGAGAAGAGAGTTATTAAATGCAGAGTCAAAGGTATTGTGAAGATGGAGAGAATATTTTGAGGAATTGTTAAATGTTGACGAAGATAAGGAAGCTGTGATTTCGTGTATTAGCTAAGGAGGAATAACATCTTGTAGGAGTGAGGAAGAGCCAGTTGTGAGTGTGGGGGAAGTTCGTGAGGCAGTGGGTAGAATGAAAGGGGGTAAGGCAGTTGGGATTAATGACATAAAGATAGAAATGTAAAAAGCAGGTGGGGATGTAAGTTTGGAGTGGTTGGTGCTTTTATTTAATAAATGTGTGGAAGAGGGTAAGGTATCTAGGGATTGGCAGAGAGCATGCGTGATTCCATTGTATAAAGGCGAAAGGGACAAAAGAAGGGTGCAAAATTATAGGGGAATAAGTCTGTTGAGTATACCTGGTAAAGTGTATGGTAAAGTTATTATTGAAAGAATTAAGAATAAGACGGAGAGTAGGATAGCAGATGAATAAGGATGGTTTAGGAGAGGTAGGGGGTGTGTAGACCAAGTGTTTACAGTGAAACATATAGGTGAACAGTATTTAGATAAGGCTAAAGAGGTTTTCGTGGCATTTATAAATTTGGAAAATGCGTATGACAGGACGGATAGGGGGGCAATGTGGCAGATGTTGCAGGTGTATGGTATAGGAGGTAGGTTCTGGAAGCAGTGAAGAATTTTATGAGGATAGTGAGCCTCAGGTTAGAGCATGTAGGAGAGAGATTATTTTCCAGTAAAAGTAGGCCTTAGACAAGGATGTCACCTTGGTTGTTCAATATATTTATAGGTGTGGTTGTAAGAGAAGTGAATTCTCAGGTGTTGGCAAGAGGTGTGGGGTTAAAAAATAAAGAATCTAACACAAAGTGGGAATTGTCACAGTTGCTATTTGCTGATGCAATGTATATTCTGATGAGAGGTTGCAGAGGTTGGCGGATGAGTTTTGAAGGGAATGTAAAAGAAGAAAATTAAAAGTGAATATAGGAGAGAGTAAGGTGTTGAGGATAACAGAAAAAAAATAGGTGACGAAATATTGGATATCAGATTGGAGGGGGAGAGTATGATGGAAGTGAATGTATTCAGATATTTAGGAGTGGATGTGTCAGCAGATGGGTCTATGAAGGATGAGGTGAGTCACAGAATTAATGAGGGGAATCTGTGGAGACAAAGAACTTTGTCCATTGCAGCAAACAGGGAAATGAATGAGAGTAGAGTTATACCAACGCTCTTATATGTGTGTGAAACATGGGTGGTAATTACTGAAATAAGGAAGGCTGGAGGCAGTGAAGATATCATGTCTGAGGGCAATGTGTTGTGTGAATATAATGCAGAGAATACATAGTTTGGAAATTAGGAGGAGGTGCGGGATTACCAAAACTATTATTGAGAGGGCTGAGAAAGGTTTTTTGAGATGGTTTGGACATGTAAAAGGATGAAACAAATTAGAATGACTTGAAGAGTGTAAAAATCTGTAGTGGAGAGGTCTAACAAAGGTTGGAAGGAGGGTGTAAAGGAGATTTTTTGTGTGAGGGGTTTGGAATTCCGGTAAGGATATGTGAGTGTGTTTGATAGGAGCAAATGGAGACAAATGATTTTTAGGACTTGATGTGCTGTTGGAGTGTGAGCAAGGTAAAATTTATAAAGGCATTCAGGGAAACTGCCAGGCCGGACTTGAGTCCTGGAGATGGGAAGTGTGAGCATGCCTCTGGCAAGACAGTGATGGAGTGAATACTTTTTCTTTTTCGGGCCACCCTGCCTTGGTGGGAGAAGGCCGTTGTGTTAAATATATTATATATATATATATATATATATATATATATATATATATATATAATATATATATATATATATATATATATATATATATAATATATATATATATATATAGGGAGGCGGAACCTCCGGAACTGGACTGGGAACCCTCGTCTTCAGAGAAAAGAATAAACTTACTTTAGGAAAAACTCGAGGTTCGAGGGGCAGTTTGAATATTTTCTTTTCCTACACCCCATATATTCTATATTCTATGTGGACTTTATTTAAAGACAATACATTTATTAAGATTCTTATCTGAATAATTGGTTAATTACGATTTACCAGTGCCAATTCCTACTATCATTAAACTTATTAAACTTTGTATTGTTGATGCAAAATTTGCATTTAATGATGAGTTTTGCACCCAGAAGTTTGGTATGGCAACATGAAATCCTCTTTCACCTGTTCTTAGTAATTTATACATAGAATTTGTTGAGACAAGATTGCTTAGCACAATCATTCCTTATAGAACTAAGTGGCATAGATATGTTGATGATATTTTTGTGTCTTATGCCTAAGAATGTAGATATAAACCATTTCCTTGTTAAATTAAATAACTTAGCTCATTATATAAATCATACTGTTGAGTTCGAAGAAAATAGCTTATTGTCTTTCCTAGATGTTTTAATTAGTATCAATGATTTACATGAAATCAACAAATAACTGTTCCTATGTTCACTATTATTCTTCATATCAAGATAAAGTTACACTGTTGGTTTTCTCAGTATTTTTGAGAGATTTACTTATTTGTAGTCCAGAGTTCATAGATGAAGAATTCTCCAAAATTTTTGAAATAGCCATTGATCTAAGATACCCAAGAAACTTAATTGTTAAATCCTTTAAAATAGCTAAAAATACTTTATACAATTTAAAAAGGGACAACCAACCTTATTCAACTAAATATATGTTGGTTCTCCCTTACCTTGAAAACTTGGTTGATATGCATTCTCTACCTAAGAATTTTAGTATCAAAGTTGTATTTAAAAATCTTGACACAGTTTAAATCTTTAGAGAAGAAATTCCCCCCAAAATGCTGACGGGTTTGTGTATAAGATTCCTTGTCCAATACGTGATAAAGTTTATTACGGTCAAACTGGTAAAAGTCTTGAACTGAGGATAAAACGACATAAATATAGCATTAGAAGTGGACAAGATTCTAATGCTCAGTTTATTCATGTGAGAGATTTTAACCATCCAATTGTTTATAAAAATGCTTAGAGAGTTGTATCAAACAAGTCATGGTCGACTGGAAAATAATTATGTTTCATAAAAAGTTGTTTTGAAAATATGAATAACTCCTTTGGTTTATATAAATTAGATTCATATATAATTAATCAAATTTGGGAGGAATTTAATAAAAATTAGACAAGTTTTTGGATAGAATATAAGCGTCTAATCTCGTCGTTATGTGCCTTCCTGTTAACCTTTTATTTTTGTAGTTCCTTGATAATGTGAGAAGTCTTTAGCTAAAGCGCCAGGAATTTAGCCATTTTTTCACAGTGGTTGTTGGGGAGAGGAGTGGGATTAAATTATGGGGAATCAAATACAAAATGGGAGTTAAGACAGTTACTTTTTCCTGATGATACTGTGCTTATGGGTGATTCTGCAAAGGTTAGTGGACGAGTTTGGGAGTGTGTGTGTAAAGGTAGAAAGTTGAAAGTGAACATAGATAAGAGTAAGGTGATTAGGATATCAAATGATTTAGATCAAGAAAAATTGGATATCACAATGGAAAGAAGTGAATGTTTTCAGATATTTGGGAGTTGTTGTGTCAGCGGGCGGGTTTATGAAGAATGAGGTTAACCATAGAAATGATGAGGGAAAAAAGGTGAGTGGTGCGTTGAGGTATATATGGAATCTAAAAGCATTATCAATGAAGGTAAAGAAGGGAATGTATGAAAGTATAGTGGTACCATCACTCTTATATGGGTGTGAAGCTTGGGTTGTAAATGCTGCAGCGAGGAGGCGGCTGGAGGCAGTGGAGATGTCCTGTCTAAGGGTAATGTGTGGTGTAAATATTATGCAGAGAATTCGAAGTGTGGAAATTAGGAGGTGTGGAGTTAATAAACGTATTAGTCAGACGGCTGAAGAAGGGTTGTTGAGGTGGTTTGGTCATTTAGAGAGAATGGATCAAAGTAGAATGACATGGAAAGCGTATAAATCTGAAGGGAAAGGAAGGAGGGGTAGTGGTCATCCTCGAAAAGGTTGGAGGGAGGGGGTAAAGGAGGTTTTGTGGGCGAGGGACTTGGACTTCTAGCAAGCATGCATGTGCGTGTTATGTAGGAGTGAATGGAGACGAATAGTTTTTGGGACCTGACGAGCTGTTGGAGTGTGAGCAGGGTAATATTTAATAAAGGGATTCAGGGAAACCGGTTATTTTCATATAGTCGGACTTGAGTTCTGGAAATGGGAAGTACAATGTCTGCACTTTAAAGGAGGGGTTTGGGATATTGGCAGTTTGGAGGGATGTGTAATAGGACGGTATATATATAACTGGGGCCCTGATGTTATATTCTATAAGTGTTGAATGATGATGAAAGTATTTTCAATTCGGGGATTTTTCTTTATTTTTGGGTCACCCTGCCTCGGTGGGAGACGGCTGACTTGTTGAAAAAAAATTATATATATAATATATATATAAATATATATATATATATATATATATATATATAATATATATATATATATATATATATATATATAATATATATATATATATATATATATATATATATATATTTGTATTAACACATCCGGCATTTCCCACCAAGGCAGGGTGGCCTGAAAAAGACATACTTTCATCATTCACTCCATCACTGTCTTCCCAGAGGCGAGCTTACACTACAGTTATAAACCTGCAACTTTAACACCCCTCCTTCAGAGTGCCGACACTGTACTTCCCATCTCCAGGAATCAAGTCCAGCATGCAGGTTTCCCTGAATGCCTTCTCAAATCTTACCTTGCTCACACTCCAACAGTACATCAAGTCCTAAAATCCATTTATTTCCCCTCCCTCTTATCAAAAGCCTGTCCTCTGCCTTCTTGCATTTTGTTGTTACGAAGTCCATCATTTCGTTTACTGATTTTCCTACCAACTACTTTTCCCACTGAACCTCCTGCAGGAAGGTCCTCATTCCTGTGCAATCCCCCTTTTATAGTTTGGCTTTTTCCTTTCTACTCCTGTTACTATCTCCACTTTTAGCTCCACGATGTATTCAAAGTTCATAACCACGTGGTCACTAGTTCCAAGGGGCCTTTCATATGTGATGTGCTCAATGTCTAAGCTTCTCAGGGTGAACACAAGATCCAGTCTTGCTGGTTCATCCTCCCTTCTCTCTCTGGTAGTGTCCCTAACATGCTGGTGCATGAGATTTGCCAGCACCACATCCATCTTTTCTCTCCATGTTTTGGGACCCCCATGTGGCTCCAGGTTTTCTTTCTGTGCCTGTGTATGTGTGTGTGTGTGTGTGTGTGTGTGTGTGTGTGTGTGTGTGTGTGTGTGTGTGTGTGTGTGTGTGTGTGTGGACCTAGAGACAATGTACATGTGCACAGAGACTTCGCAGAACAAGAGAAATATTTACAAACATCAATCTCAGCTTTGTCCCAAAGCTTGAACCTAAGAGCGTTGAGACAAAATACTATACACACCATGCCACGCTCTCCAGGTATTAGTATGTAATAAGTTAATGGTCCATGTCGGACCGAAATGTCGTCATAAGTTTCTTTCTATGTGCAAGTTATTTGTGTTCTGTTTCATTCATGGTGTTGTCCCTGTGATTCATTACATAAACGTTTCAGTGTATATTCCCAAACATCTGAGTATTGTCTCGTACCGTAGGACGGCATTTCCACTGTGGATCCTGACAGTGATTCTGTTCAAGTTGACGATCTCCTACGCTGCCCAGATGCTGGCCCTCACTGGCTCAATGCTCACCTGCGCTGCTCTCATCTGGGCAGGCAACAGAAACTTCATCGAGCTGGAAGTGCCCTTCTCTCCACCGAATGGGATCCTCAGAACTGTATACGGTGTCCACTGGTACCTCGCACTCTTTGTTGGTAAGATACTGTGTGAGGGTGTTAGCTCTTAGGTATTCCTTGATATCAAATCACATAATGGGTAGGGTTTTAAACCCATGGGAACTGAGTCCTGAAACTCACAAGCCAGCTGGCTCTAATAGATTTTGATAAATGGGACTTGTGCAGCATTTGGTTCTCTTTATTCTGGAAACGTTTAGCCACGCAGTGCCTTCTTCAGTCCAATACAGAGAAAAGTGAAAGATGTGGCTGAGTTTGAGGTAACGTTTCCAGAATAAAGTTACTTAAATGTTGTACAAGTCTCATTTATCAACTAATCGGTTTTGTAAATCATTTAGTCACCTTCTAATAGATTTTATTTACAATCATGCTATTACGATTTCGTGTTTCCTCGTTATGTCGCGCATTGTCCGAATACAACCTTATTTTACTGTGTGTACTTGCAGCTCTGTAACGTCTGAACTTTTCCCCTCGTTGTTGCTTAGATATTTTTTTTTGTAAGGATAACTGGTTAGAAAGTGTCCTTCATACCTAGCATTCATTGTAGGTAAGATACTTGTTTAAAAAGGTAAGATACTTGGTTAATTGGTGTCTCGTACCTAGTATTCATTGTAGGTAAGATACTTGTTTAATAAGGTAAGATACGCCTTGTGCACATGTAATTGGAGCTACACTTTTCTTATATCCACTGAGAGATACATAACTCGGTGTGTATGCGCACTGAGACACACACACACATATATATAAGTGTATGTAGGAGAGAAATACACACCTTTCGTTGTATATACACAGAGATACACCTCTCGTTGTATATACACAGATACACCTCTCGTTGTATATAAAAAGAGATACACCTCTCGTTGTATATACACAGAGATACACCTCTCCCTGTATACACACAGATACACCTCTCGTTGTATATACACAAAGATACACCTCTCGGTGTATAAACACAGATACACCTCTCGTTGTATATACACAGAGATACACCTCTCGTTGTATACACACAAAGATACACCTCTCGGTGTATAAACACAGATACACCTCTCGTTGTATATACACAGAGATACACTTCTCGTTGTATATACACATAAGATACACCTCTCGTTGTATATACAGATACACCTCTCGCTGTATATACACAAAGATACACCTCTCGTTGTATATACACATTAGATACATCACCTCTTGTTGTATATACACAGAGATACACCTCTTGTTTTATATATACAGAGATACACCTCTCGTTGTAAATACACAGATATACACCTCTCGTTGTAAATACACAGATATACACCTCTCGTTGTATATACACATTAGATACACCACCTCTCGTTGTATATACACAGAGATACACCTCTCGTTGTATACACACAGAGATACACCTCTCGTTGTATACACACAGAGATACACCTCTCGTTGTATATACACAGAGATACACCTCTCGCTGTAAATACACAGATATACACCTCTCGTTGTATATACACATTAGATACACCATCTCTCGTTGTATATACACAGAGATACACCTCTCGCTGTATATACACAGAGATACACCTCTCGTTGTATACACACAGAGATACACCTCTCGTTGTATACACACAGAGATACACCTCTCGTTGTATATACACAGAGATACACCTCTCGCTGTAAATACACAGATATACACCTCTCGTTGTATATACACATTAGATACACCATCTCTCGTTGTATATACACAGAGATACACCTCTCGCTGTATATACACAGAGATACACCTCTCGTTGCATATACACAGAGATACACCTCTCGTTGTATACACACAGAGATACACCTCTCATTGTATATACACAGAGATACACCTCTCATTCTATATACACATTAGATACACCACCTCTCGTTGTATATACACAGATATACACCTCTTGTTGTATACACACGCAGATACACCTCTCCCTGTATATACACAGAGATACACCTCTCGTTGTATATACACAGACACACCTCTCGCTGTATATACACAGAGATACACCTCTCGTTGTATATACACATTAGATACACCACCTCTCGTTGTATATACGCAGATATACAAGTCTTGTTGTATACACACGGAGATACACCTCTCGCTGTATATACACAGAGATGCACCTTTCGTTGCATAGACACAGAGATACACCTCTCGTTGTATATACACAGAGGTACACCTCTCGTTGTATATAAACAGAGATACACCTCTCGTTGTATATACACAGAGATACACCTCTCGTTGTATATACACAGAGATACACCTCTCGTTGTATTTACGCAGATATACACCTCTGGTTGTATATACACAGAGATACACCTCTGGTTGTATATACACATTAGATAAACCACCTCTCGTTGTATATACAGAGATACACCTCTCACTGTATATACACAGAGATACACCTCTCGCTGTATATACACAGAGATGCACCTCTTGTTGTATATACACATTAGATACACCACCTCTCGTTGTATATACACAGATATACACCTCTTGTTTTATACACACGGAGATACACCTCTCGCCGTATGTACACAGAGATACACCACTCGCTGTATATACACAGAGATACACCTCTCGCTGTATATACACAGAGATACACCTCTCGTTGTATAAACCCATTAGATACACCACCTCTCGTTGTATATACACATATATACACTTCTTGTTGTATACACACGGAGATACACCTCTCGCTGTATGTACACAGAGATACACCTCTCGCTGTATATACACAGAGATACACCTCTCGTTGTATATACACAGAGATACAACTCTAGTTGTATATACACAGAGATGCACCTCTTGTTGTATATACACAGAGACGCACCTATCGTTGTATATACACAGAGATACACCTCTAGTTGTATATACACAGAGATACACCTCTGGTTGTATACACACATTAGATACACCACCTCTCGTTGTATATACACAGAGATACACCTCTCGTAGTATATACACAGAGATACACCTCTCGTTGTATATACACAGAGACACACCTCTCGTTGTATATACACAGATACACCTCTCGTTGTATATACACAGAGATACACCTCTCGTTGTATATACACAGAGATACACCTCTGGCTGTATATACACATTAGATAAACCTCCTCTCGTTGTATATATAGAGATACACTGCTCACTGTATATACACAGAGATACACCACTCGCTGTATATACACAGATACACCTCTCACTCTATATACACAGAGATACACCTCTCGTTGTATATACACAGAGATGCACCTCTCGTTGTATATACACAGAGATGTACCTCTCGATGTATATACACAGAGATACACCTCTAGTTGTATATACACAGAGATACACCTCTCGTTGTATATACACAGAGATACACCTCTCGATGTATATACACAGAGATACACCTCTCGTTGTATATACACAGAGATACACCTCTCGTTGTACATACACCGAGATACACATCTCGATGTATATACACAGAGATACACCTCTAGTTGTATATACACAGAGATACACCTCTCGTTGTATATACAGAGATACACCTCTCGTTGTATATACACAGAGATACACCTCTCGTTGTATAAACCCATTAGATACACCACCTCTCGTTGTATATACACATATATACACTTCTTGTTGTATACACACGGAGATACACCTCTCGCTGTATGTACACAGAGATACACCTCTCGCTGTATATACACAGAGATACACCTCTCGTTGTATATACACAGAGATACAACTCTAGTTGTATATACACAGAGATGCACCTCTTGTTGTATATACACAGAGACGCACCTATCGTTGTATATACACAGAGATACACCTCTCGTTGTATATACACAGAGATACACCTCTGGTTGTATACACACATTAGATACACCACCTCTCGTTGTATATACACAGAGATACACCTCTCGTTGTATATACACAGAGATACACCTCTCGTTGTATATACACAGAGATATACCTCTCGTTGTATATACACAGAGATACACCTCTCGTTGTATATACACAGAGATATACCTCTCGTTGTATATACACAGAGATACACCTCTCGTTGTATATACACAGAGATATACCTCTCGATGTATATACACAGAGATACACCTCTCGTTGTATATACACAGAGATACACCTCTCGTTGTATATACACAGAGATACACCTCTCGTTGTATATACACAGAGATACACCTCTCGTTGTATATACACAGAGATACACCTCTCGTTGTATATACACAGAGATACACCTCTCGTTGTATATACACAGAGCAACACACCTGCCGGTTCATAGACTTTCTCGTTACTGGACGAAAGTTTAATTTTTTTTCATTAATATACAATTATACGCAATTATATATCAATTAAACCTAAGATATGAAATATGAAACTACATGAAATTATATAAACTTATATAAACTAATATAAACTAATATGAAATTATATTTATTTGCAATTATATACATCATTATACTTAATATCCTTGCGTGTAAAAATGAGAAAAGTTTGTCATTTCAAAACATTAACTTATATAACTTATATCGCAATTTATTATGAGGTATATAGCAGTTATACAATGTTTATATAGCAGGTATATAGCGATGAAATAGTTATGAACGAGTTTTGTAGTCAACAGGTAGTTATTTTACAGGTGTGAGGTAATTATGTATGAGGTATATAACAGATATATGCCTGATACAATTAAATTCGTTCTTTAAAATTCATGGGTGTGTGATGAAGTATGGTATGAGCAGGTGGATGAGTGATGAAGTATGGTATAAGCAGGTGGATGAGTGATGGCGTATGGTATGAGCAGGTGGATGAGTGATGAAGTATGGTATGAGCAGGTGAATGAGTGATAAAGTCTCGTATGAGCAGGTGGATGAGTGATGTATGGTGTAAGCAGGTGGATAAGTGATGATGTATGGTATAAACAGGTGGATGAGTGATAATGTATGGTATGAGCAGGTGGATGAGTGATGTATGGTGCAAGCAGGTGGATAAGTGATGATGTATGGTATAAACA